ATCGTATGGGTCGTCCACGAGTTTATCGTCGAACGCCTCATCGTCGGCCATATAGTCCTGCGCCTCTGCAGGATCTTCAACACCTTCCGGTTCTTCTACAGGCTCCGAGTCCTGTAGGTCTTGTTCGTCAGACTCGACCGCTATGTTGTACATGCGCGGTTTGGGCTTGTCGTGATTTGGGCAATCACGTTGATAGCCTATTTTCCCGCATTTAAAACAACGCGGTTTCCCATCCTTATCCAAGGATGGCGTCGATTTCGTCGCTGTAGACGATGTCGACTTCTCTGTTTTTGGAGCCGGCGAATAGCTCGCACGGAAGGTCGAGCGTTGTCCGCTCTTCAGAGATGACATGTTTCCCCCGAATGTGTTTTTGTACACTTTCTTGGTGGACGAAGAATCAGCAGCTTTTTTGGGTGCTGCTGCGGTGTTGGCTTGTTTTTGCGTCGTTTTTGACATGGCTGGCGCTTGCGAGTCGTTACGATACGCAGAGATCACCTTAATTGAATCGTATGCATGGTCCAGGCGGAGCACGGCGGTCCACAACTCGTCTTTCGTTGTGTAGTCCACGGAAATGTCGTGGCGCATAACCATCTCCCGACGCATTTCGCCAGGGATGGCGTTCAGGAAACGTTCATTGAACATTGCCTGGTCAGGAGGCGTGATCATCTCCTCAGCTGCACGATACAGCTGGTTATAGAAGTGTTTGATTCCCTTCGCGGAATTGTATGAAAGCGTTTTGAACGCTTTCGTGGATGCTACTGCTGCAGACTTCTTGATGAAGGTGCAGATAAGGATCTCTAGTAGATCCCAGAATGGGGGGGTTACCCCGTTCTGCACTCCAATGCGTATATAGTGCATCAGGAGGTCTTGCGCCTCGCCTTCAACGGCGGTTGTCAAAGTGTGGACGTGAAACTCGTTGTAAGCTTCACCCTTCCACCCACACGACGACATATAGGCTAGCCAGGAGTGCAGCCAGTTGTGGAATATCTTCGAGTTATTTTCTCCAGACCATTTGATGGTCGGAGTCAGTCCCTGCATCTTTTTGAGCAGTTCTGGGTGTACATCTGCAGGCAGTGGCTGCAGGATTCGGACCTCCACACTTCGGCGTGCAGATTCAAGAAGCTGAGTCATGAACTCAGATGGATCTGGCACTACTCGTGCCGCAGGTGCTGCGTATGAACGCATGGTTGAGTCAAACAAACCGGGTCGTACAGATGAGCGGTTTGGAAAATTGGATGAAGGCTCCCGTTTTGCTTCGGTGCCAAATGGGTCAAGAAATGGTGGGTTGGGCCAGGACGAGCCACCCTCGCCACCATCCTCATCATCACCATCGCCACTCAGACGGCGGGGCCTTCTTCCCGAGTTAGACCTAACTTGGTCTACACGCCTCTTGCCCCCTTCTGGAGCCGCAGGCGGTTGTGAGAATCGGTGGTAGTTATCCAGCACTCGTCTGAGTGCTGTGCCGTGGGACAGTCTTTCGGGGTCTTCACCGTTTGCCCCATGACCCACGTTGTATACGAATGCTGCGTCTGCATCCAGACGGGCGTTAAAGTCGAAAGTAGATTCACTGAGACTACGCTTAGCGAAGATAGGTCTGACCTTGGTGGGCTGTCCGCCAATGTCATCTACACGATCCTGGACGTAGATCAGGCGTTTTTTTCGTGCGTAATAATCGTACGGAACACTGGTGGCTTCCGCGTCACCGTCTTCCTCTTGTATCGTCTCCACAGTGGCCTTCATCGGCACTGCTTTCTTTCTCCCGTGGTCGGGAGGGAAATTACGTGTTTGAGTAGCGTCAACGCGTGGTATTTTCACCCCACCGTTCATGGGTTGGGATGACAGAATGAACGGTGCGGGCACGAAGCCTGGTTTGAAATGGAATGGAGAAGTTCCACTCTCCCCCGTAGTCGATGATCCAGCCAGTTGTCCTGGGTAGGTGGCTTAGTTCCACTAAAGATGGGAACAAAACATCCGTCAGATTCTTGTACTTCAACGGACGCGCGTGAACTTGTCGCCTCTGTGACGACGGCAGAGACAGTGGGGATCCCTCCAGGTATGGGGACCCCACTGATTGGTTGACCCGTTGGATTAACGGGGACTACAGGGACCTCTTGGGGCGCTTGTGCCTCCACAGCGGGTTTAGTGATTGGTTGACCCGTTTGGTTAACGGGGACTACAGGGACCTCTTGGGGCGCTTGCACCTCAACAGCGGTTTTTTTCGTCTGGTCAGAGACGACGATGTGGTCTCCACCCGTTGTTGGGTTCACTGGAGGGTTTGCAGATGGGTTATCCACCGTTGCTGCAGGTGGCTTTGGCTCGTCGCGTCGAGAGAGCGCGAGGAGAATTTCGTTTAGTTTCTCATTAAGTCTTTCCTCCACCTTAATGATGTTACGATCTAGACGAGTGATGTTATCGCTATTCCCAGAGATTTGGGTATTCATGTTACGGACATCGCCTCTCAAGTCGGCGATGTCGTCGTCGACTTGGTCGACGCGATTTCTTAGTACTCGCGCCGTTTCAGACGCGAGGGAGTGGGTTGGGGATGGAGGACGCGACGCGTGCATTGGGACAAATGCCGTGAGAGTCTCCGCTGCGAGGGCTTCAGACATTGTGACTTCGTCAACGTCTCTCATATAGGTGGGACGCGTCTGAGACGCGTCCCTGGGCCCTTGCAGGCCCAGATTGCCACCATCACTTGAGGTGGTGTCGTCTTCCGCCCTACGGCTAGTGGAGGGGCCGGCCGTGTTGGCGGGAGCGTTGGACGTGCTCCTGGTGTTGTATCTCCACGACATCCAGAAGAGGTGTCGAGTCGTTCAACAAGTTCGCGTGAGAACTTGATCGAAGTCGCGTGTTGTCAGGGGCCGACGACGCGTGCGTTGCCAAATGGGGTTTCGGCACCGGTAATGCAGTGCCGAGAATGGAAAGAGAATAATAGCGTAAAAAAGTGAAAGGTTATCTTACTAGTTTGGGGATGGTAACGTTCCATTCCCCCGTTCGCCTCAGGCCTCAGTAGTCCGTCTAAGTATACGCTTGATTTGGCTGTATATTGACAGGGTAGAAGTAAAGGCTCATCCGCCTTTTACAGCTACCCCGAGGGTTTATATACAATCTTATACATTCTCGGCACAAATAAATAGAGAAGCTTCCGCGACGCTAAATTAGCGTCGCGACATAATTATTACACAACACAACATCAACTGATGTTGTGGGTGGAATATAGACATGGGCCGGGGCCTCACACCTCTGCTCCGGAATCCTGTTTGCGTCTGTCTCCGGAACCTCCGGTCTCAGCTCCGACCTCGGACTTTGACCCCACCTCCGCTTATACCCATTGTATTGGTTAGCTCATTCCATTTAATTACGTTTGCCAATATTCCGGAGTTTAACTTCCGAGTTCGGACTTTCCGGACTTACTCCGGACCTTGCAACTATTGCATTGTCCATTTCAATTCCGCTATTCTCCCTCATTCCTATTTGGGCTGCTGCTTCCTTCTATTCAGTCAGCTAGCCATTCCCGACTCCCATCCTCCTTCCTTCCTCCTTGGGCCTTGGCCCTTCATTCCTCCTTTGAGAAACACCATTGAGTCAAACCCTTGACCCTCGGTGTCGTTCCTCTTTCCATCTCCCTTTGTCTCCTTTCATCCTACCCTTGTTCCTTTTGATTCCGGACCCCTCCTTATATACAATGTACCTAGTAACTTGTAACCTCAGTCCGAAATCGACTTGAATTCCCCCCAAGAGACTTTCCCTCTGCTAGATCCGAAATTAGGGACCTCCAGGACAACCAGCAATGGCACAGCGCTCCGCCTGAGTCGCTGAGGCCGAGGTCCTTCCACGCTAAGTCTCCAATTCCATTCTGGAGTCGTCCGAATCCGCGCGTTCTAACACCTCCACCAGTTCTGCTGGAGGTAATGAGTCTGTTCATGTCAACAATCCGTCCATAATTTCCACTAGCATTCCTGTCCCTTCTTTTCTTGCCCAGCCTTCTTTACAGCCTCCCGAAACTCCCAATTTGCCAACTAATCCTATTACACCACCTGAAAATGTTTTCGATTTTGTGAATGTGTTCCCTTCCTCCCTTCCTCCTCCTCCTTTCGAACGTGACCAATCCATAATGGACGACGTTCCTGAATTATCCAAGTCCCACAAAAGAGCCAAAAAAATGTAGTGTACGTCATCGTTTATGAATATCAATATGATTCTGGCATGTATTAAACCTCCGGTGAAATCGTTCATTGCATCCATTTCTATCATGTCCTCTCTTCACCCACAACCGATTCAGCCTCGCTATCACAGAACAATACATGCTGTACCAAACTCTTTCACTACTACCTTCAATTCCAACTGACCAATTTGGAAAAATCGCCGTATTGTTCGCATTACAACTCCTTGGAATCAGGAACCCTGTCCATGGTGTCATACTCTACTATTACAAGACAAGTCCCCTGCATGGTGTTGTCAGAGAGGGTCCAAAGCATTTGACCCTCTACCTGACATATCGCCACGCATTCAAGCTATCATCAATGATACTCATTCTCGACACATTCTTGCACAACACTCGCGCACTCTGAACAATCTCTTCTGTCTCACAGCTATGGGAGTTTCGGAACATTGGAGCCACTATACTGGTACTTCACTTTCTCGCATTGTCCCATCATCACTGAGGTTTTGGTTCTTGAGAGGATAATATCCGCGGATTTTAATCCGCAGTTTCATATAGTTACTAGCAGCAAAATACATGTGGATAATTATTCATCTACATCCTGCTCCACAACTAGCCAGCTACGCAGTGGCATCAATTTTTCAATTGTCACCGCACCAAGGGAAGCTCTCCTTAGAGAAATGAGGTCACGTCCAATATTGAGGTTGCGCCCCACAAGGACAGAACCTCCTGTAAGGAGAATAATTTGTGTTTGTCAAACAACACCAATGTGGAATACTACTTGCCAGGTATTTGTCAGGGATCAGCAATGACCCTGGACCCTATGCCGGCTGCGCGTATGCGCGTGGGAAGTATGCCGGTAATTCCCGTCTACTCTGCTTACCTAAGCCCCGGTGACCCGGATCATCTCCGGCATTGTTCTGGAACATTCTATGATCACGTGATTCTATCGGCAATCCATTTGGTTTCCTTATTGCCGGACTCTACATGTATATAGCTGACCCTAAGATGGGGACATCCCTTTCCCCCGGCTTTAATCACAACTAGGTTATCGGAGCATCTTGCGCGAGCACACGCGTCCCCTGACAGTATTGCCAAGATTTTTCGGGCCATTAGTGCACAGCGGGGATATAGATTTTGGTTGGTATGCCACCACATGAGTGGGTCAATCCCCACATCAGCAACAGGAACAGCCAGGTAACGCTTCAATTCCAGCTCCGCACTTTCCACATCCTTGGATTCATGACTTGCAGATATGCCTAAGATTGAAAGGTTGAATTTTAGCCCCCGAGACTTTTGATTTGCCAGTGTTGAGTCCATCTTTGTTGTCGATGTGGTCTGAAATGCATTCATCTGCTCAACCAGGCAGTCCTGACACCCGAACACCCAGGCAGCACCGAAATAGCTGTCACTTGCCTTGGCTGAGAACATGCGGTCTTTGAACCGTGGGTCAAGAACTTAAGAATAGGTGTGAGATTTCCGATATGTTTCGAAAAAAAAATACATACCTGCTGCAAAATAATAATACTCCGACTCTGCTGTGGACTTATCAAAGAATTTGATGAGTTTTCCTTTTGCTGCATCAATCCCGGCTTTAACATTAGGAAAGTTTTTGACGATAGCGCTTTTGTGTGCAGTGTCGAGTACAGCAAGGAGGGCAAGGAAATTGTAGAGTGAGAGACTGAGGGTTGGATAGTGGGAGCCAGACATCATCACTGATGCATCACGGAAAGCCTGAATCCCAAGTCAATTACACATCTGTACAGAGATGAGTACAAACTCGTACCTTGAGCATATCAAGAATTACTTGTGCCGCTTCCCATTCGGCAGGCTCTATGGAGAATCTTGTATATATTGGGACATTCAAGCAGATATCATCGAATATCTGCTCAGTCAGTGTGAATAGTAAGCAAACAGGTGAATGAAGAGGGTAATATACCATGTGATATTCATCAGCACGCTCCAACATGAAGTATGTGCTATTCCACCTTGTAATCACATCTAGGATTGGAACCTTTAGTGTGAGGAGTCGAGACTCATCCTCCCCATTTCGTTTCACCCAGTCATTCCAGCGTGTGATGCGAGAGAGATAGTCCTCCTGTCATTGTGGAGATGAATGCGCGAGTTTGCTGATGGCACGGACCTGGCGGAATCAAACTTCAGTAATGTGATGCTAGTCATCACCTGACACTCCCACCTTCTGAATAAGCACCCTCAAGTCAACCACATCGCGCTCTGTCCCTTGGCCCTCAGCCATTCTTCCACACATACTGCCGTCCTTTTGTAGTATCTGTTGATCTGTCATCCCACCATCACCATCCCTATCTATGCCTGAAATTGATTCTGCTTCTTCCTCTGTGAGATCCGGACTGTCTAAATCGAACTCGGCTTCTTCTGTGTCCCCTGGTTTCATGGCTCGCACTGATACTAGTAGGGCGATTACTGCAAGGTGGATAATATGTGCAAGACATCTTATTGTGGCCTGGTCTGGATCAAGGCTTTGGCTTGGTGTGCCTGTGATGAGTCGACGCGCCAAATGATGCATAAGCGTGGAATTGTTTGAAGCATTATCACAGGTAACCGTGGTCAACTATGTAGGAATGGTATGTTAGAATGGTCTTCCAGAAGGAGACATACTAACCTTTTCGATAATCCCAAGCTCCCACAGCAAATCATATAGGGATTGTGACATATTCTCACCAGTGTGTGGACCGTGCAACTCCTTGAAATGGAGAAGCAGCTCCCTCATCTTCCACTCACTGTCTATCCAAGTGCCTCCAATAGCAAGGAATGCAATTCGATTGCTTGATGTCCAAGCATCACATGAAATTGCCATTCCAACAGTGCTTTTCTGTTTGGATGTTTGTGGGTGAGTTGTAATGCTGTTGGAGTCCCCATACCTCAAGGCGCTGAACTAGTTTTCCTTTCTCCACCTCTGCCCTCACCATAATCTTCTGCTTCATGGCATCTGCCTTGACCATCTTCTCTGCCACAGGCCGGTTAAACATTGCAACAATCACATGGAAGGAAGTCTTCTCAACAATAGTAAAAGGCTCATTTTCAATAATGATATGGTTTTCTAGTAGGTGGTAAAACCTGTCCCAGTCAAACCGCTTCAATAAATAGTGAGCAGTCAGTCTAATTACTACTGTGGAGACATACCGCAGCAAAAGGAAGTGTGGTTTGTCCTGATTCTGTCACCAGACCTGCAGGCTTTTTCCCAGTCCCTTCCCACTCAGCCTCCAATGCTCTCTTCCAGATCTGCGTATGCTCGGTCTCAAAGTGGCCATTGAAGTTGGAAGTGCTTCCACCACCTGAAGTCTTCCATGTCCAAGTTTGGTCGACTCCCTTATCTTTGCAGGGACTGCAACGCAGGACACACCACTTTAATTGGCCAAGTGCATTGTATTGAATGGTATGTGGAAGCAAAATGAGGAAGGTGTATATAGGTGACTTCGATTTTTTCCATTTCGGATAGTCAGCAGCACAGTCCTTTGTTGGCCTCCCTACTAAGTTCTTCCTCCATGCATAGAATTTGTCCAAGTCATCGGAATTAGCATTGGGGTTGGATGAGGTTTCCGGTGCATCAGTAGATGCTGTATTTCTGCCTTGGGCAGGATTGCAAGTCAGAGAGTCGGGAGTTGGAGAGTCAGGAGTCGAAGAGACTGGATTCTTTCTCTTTTTGTTCTATACTGTAGAATTATACCAGTCCAAAGCCTCAAGAGCCTTGGCAGATCGCTTTCGGTTGCGTCCACCACTGATAACATTAGTGAGGTCAATTTCTTGTCGGGAGGACATAGGATTGGCAGGTAGTGAGATGTGAATTGTAATGGGACACTTCTCGCAAGGTAGTTTGCACGGTTGTTATGGAGAAATTGATGGATTTCCTAATTTGGAGCATGGTATCTGCAATCCGCAGTTGATCCGCATATCCGCGGGTTTCTAACTGCCGGATACGGTTTTAAGTTCCAAACCTCTAGAATCCGCGGATTCTGATCCGAATCCGAACCTATCCGAACCGCTAGGAGCCCTAGCAGGAAGGGAAGGGTGATGATATCAAAAGTAGACGATACCGCGTCAATAAACACTAGGTAGCTCTCATCAGAACTTCCCCCATGGGGACCCCGTAGCGACCCATTTTGCAGAAACCATAAGAATGAGAGAGAGCATAAGGATAGAACCTACAGAATCCCGCGTCAGGATCTTGATTAGCAAAACTTCCTCCTAGCCTTGAAGGAGAAGGGGGGGGAAACAGAGGAAAAATCTCACCTCCATACGCTCCAACTGCTTTATAGCCTCCTGTGGCGTCGCGAATAGCGCCGGGTATGGGCGGCCCACATAAGGCTCCAATTCCACTCAAAGTGAATAGCATCCCCGTTCTCCGGCCTATATCCCCTTGAACGCCAAATTGAGGATGTGTCAGCGGAGTAACGACAACCCCGATGAAAGCACCCGAGGCAATCCTATGCAGTTACACAAGGGGAAATTTTTCAGGAGGAGGGGGAAGCAAATTTGTTATGGTAAGAGCCTCCATATCATCACTGACGGAGAAAATGACGGGCTCACCCATATAAAACCGATACAGCAATCAACGACCCCATACTCAACGCATAAGGCCAAACATATGTCATCAAAGCTGCCAACACCATGAAGCACCCCAACACGTTGATAGGTCCATACCTCCCCGACAAAGCGCCCGAACCAAGCCTCCCAATACTCGAACATGCATTTGCTATCGAAATGAGATAAAAAGCCAGATCCCCGTTGATCTTGGCTACTTCGACTGCGGCTGTGTCAAGGTACGTCAAGACGGTGAACATCCCTAAGAAGCCGATTGTGGAGGAGAGATAATAGAGTGTAAAGTGGGGCGATTTGAACGCGGGGAGGTTGAAGAGGCCACCTTTTACATTGACGGGGGGAAGACGACGTCTGAGGAGAAGGTTCGCTGTGGTAGTTGCAAGGAGGGTAAAGAAGCCTAAAACGCGCATCGTCCAACGGAAGCTAGAGGGAAGATGCGCCGGAGGGAAAGTACGTACGCAGCGAGCTTGAGACGAACGAGAGAAACGTACCCGATTTTTGGGATGAGGGTACGAGTTACGATGGGTAGAAGTGTCCCGCCTACGCCTGACCCGACGGCTACTAAACCGAATACCAATGGTCTCCTCTTATGGACTTGGAAGAAGGTATCCACCGTTAGATCCAACTTGCTTTTCTGAGAAAAAAAGAATCTGTTCCACGTACAGTAATTTGATGCCACTGCAAATGTTGGTCCGAATAGGAAGCCCGACGACATCTGGCCCGAAAAGGCAGAGAAGACACGCATGTGAATTTCCGCCCAGTAAGAAAGAAGTAGACGAAAGAGAGGGGAGGGGATGAATGGTTACGCTTACTCCCACAGCAATTCCTTGGCATAACATAAACTGCCAATATCTTTCACATTCCCCTACAAGGAACGTTGAGAGGACGAGAAGACATGTGGCCGGTACCATTGTTTCTCGAAAGTATCCAACGTCGAAGAGTCGGCCACTGATCGACCCCGGTATCAGACCGAGTGAGTACTACGTGTGGGTGAGTGGTGCATAGGGAGGATAGGGCAAGTGAAAGGAAGGAGGCGAGTTATTGGCGACATCGGATTGGAAGCAGAGGGAAGATTTTACGAACCTGGACTGAGCCTATCCATGCACTGTAAGGCAGTACTTGAGCATGAAGCCAAGGAAAGCGGTTATATCTTCTGACGAAGCTTACATATTCGAATGGGACTGATCGGAGAGAATTGTTTGTGAATAAAACTCTTGAAAGACCTAGGGGTATCTCATTAGAATATTCGGCGGCGGACCACGAGGGTAATGAGGCTAGGATGTCGAGAACAACTCACACCCTAATTTGAATCGAGCCCGAAGAATTGTCAGAGCGCTGGGACGTCAGGGCGTCATCGGTTACGTACCCAAGCATTAACAAATCCAAATCTGACCATAGATGAGTTCACGATCAGAGGATAATTGAGGGAAACAACATACGTCGAGAAATTTAAGAGGGCACACTGGCGAGGACAATCATTTCGTGCAGCCGCAGGGGCGATTTGTTTGAAAGGGGATGTTAGTCCTATCTTGGAGTGAGCAGGTTTCAACAACTCACCCCAATGACGACAAGCCAAGCTTCGAGCCCCCCTTCAGGGTACTCGCCGTCATTAGAATTAGGGCCATCTGATAGGCTTAAATTCACTGGTGAGAATGAGAGAGGATCAAAGGTGGGGGATGAAGACGATGTCCTAATATTGGAGACCGGGTTGGTGTTCGTCATAGTTGCAGCGGACGAATGACGCTCGAGAGGAAAGGGGATGGTAGCGGCAGAAGGGGTCGACTTGGATATCGATTTTTCGTTAGAAGCCATACAGAGATGGGGAGTTGGATGAGCTGAAGGCGGATTGGAAGGATTGGCCGGATACACGACAACCAGTGAAACTTATATCAGTGAATGAACGAACAAGGGGATCGGAGTAGTATATTGCAGCGCTTGTGTGCCGAGCGTCAAGGACGAGGTGGAAGGAAATCCTATACGAAGTCAGGAACGAGCGTCCAGTCAAGATGTGGAAAAAGAGGGCGGCGGGTTGCGGACATAACCAACTCTGGCCATGATGAATAATGATTTTAATGGAGAGCTCCCACCACACACGAGCGCCTCGTTTCTGTTTAGCCGCTGATGAAACACAGCAGCTTGCTGTAAACGATTCGCGCGATGGTGGCAGTTTTAGCCAACGAGCTGGCTTTGGTGGCGAGCAACGTGCTGCATGACCTGGATCTTATCGATGTGTGACCTGAACAATCTGCAGGTTTACAAGGCGAATGAGCGGTTGGATCGGACCTATGATGATAGGAAAGCACCCGAGTCTCAGTATCCAAATCGGAATCTATGACAATCTGGCCAACGCATCCGTGTGATTTCAAATGTTCAATTAAGTAACCGAACAAGGGGCCTCCCTTCAGTGCCTAGAGATGTGCGAACGATGCCTTGCAAAGTTGAAAAAAAGAGGCGCAGGTGATGACTCATTAATGTTCACACAACATTACGTAGGTGATCTTGTCTCAGTGGCAGTCTCACACAGTGACTCACAACCACACATCATCGGCAAGTCACGAGGGACGGAATCTAAGGTTTAATTAAGCCGTCACTCCACGTGACCCATCCAACAGTACGACAACGCGGGTGTTACATAGGCAGGTTACCAGCCCTTATTAGTATAGGTGTTCACGCGATTTCGCTGGGCATTACAAGGGCGTTACGGGATTTTTTTGGTGTTACAAGGCGTTACGGGGTTTTGCTGGGCGGTTACAAGGGCGTTACAATGAAGCGACACTATAACTTTGTGTGCAAATTTATCAACTGCCGCCACTGCATGTAAATATTTAGACACCTATCTATAAGGCCAAACCTAGGCATCTTCCTATTCCTAGTTCGAGGAGGGGGAGAAGGCTTGTTGCGTACGCACCAACTGCTTTATAGTCTCCTGTGGTATCATGAATATAGCTAGACCACACAAGACTCCGATCCTCGAACTCAATAGCATCCCCATTCTGGTTCCGTGTTCAGTGAAGAATATAAGTAAATTTTTCGTGGAAATATTGCTAAAGGAACGAACAAGAAGCTCACCCTAAAAATCGATACAGTAATCAACGATCCCACACTCAAAGCATAAGGTCAAACATACTGATGTGCCACACAAGGCTTGTCCCGGCACGACATCTATGCAGTCTTAGCGGGAGACTCCGCGAAGGGCCGTCGCCATAAATACAAATCACCCGGAGAACGCTGCGAATAAAATTTTGTGCTATGTTTTGGTGAGTGCGATGTACAGATGGATTCTCTGATTACGTGCTTGTGGCGGAACTATGATCTCTAACATAACTATAGTGGCAAGACTGCCACGGCCATTCTTGTTCCTCTCAAAGGCCAAGTCCATTGGATCCCGCGCATGTTCTGACGAAGTTCACAAATACAGCAACCAGAAAAACGACGGTCATTCTCGCTGATTTTCAAGGCTAATTGTCCCATGCTTGGATAACTCAATCAGGACCCGAACCCAACATCTACCCTGACCAAAAAAATCAACCTAATGCTTCTACTGCATTCAATATACGTCCATGTTTACATACTCTACATACATGCGCAGGTCATTCTTCGCAGAAGGCGCATCTAAAAACAAAAACAAGACATGAAACGAAAGAGGAACTGTGAAACGTGCACGAGTGTAAAACAATGTCCCGTTAATGACCACTGTTATCCCCCAATAAATGGGTAGGTGGCTCCCATTAGAATTTCCCCCATGGAGACCCCGTAGCGACCCACTTTGCGGCGAACATCAGAACGACAGAAAGTACAAGGATGGAACCTACCAAATTCCACACCAACATGACCGTCAACGAAGCCCCTACTCGAGAAGGAGAACAAAGGGATACCCACCTGCAAACCCCCCGACTGCTTCGTAACCTCCCGTCGCGTCACGAATGACACCTGATATAGGTGCACCACATAGGATTCCGATGCTGCCGCAAGTGAATAGCATCCCCGTTCTTCGCCCCATGTCCCCTTGAGCACCAAATTTAGGGTGCGACAATGGCGTACCGACGAGCCCGACGAAAGCACCCACTGCAACCCTATGCAAAGGAGGGGTCAAATTCCTTTTTGGTAGGATCCACATCGCCACCAAGAGGGTGGCACTTGGGCTTACCCATACACGATCGATACAAAAATCAAGGATCCCAGATTCAAACAATAAGGCCAAACGTACGTCATCATGGCCGCTATCGCCACGAAGCACCCCAGCATGTTCACAGGTCCATACCACCCGGCCAAAATACCTGAAACAAGCCTTCCAATACCCGAACAAGCATTAGCTAACGCAACGAGATAAAATGCCAGATCCACAGGTATTTTGGCTGCTTCTATGGCAGCGATGTCGAGATATGTCAACAAGGTGAACAACCCTAGATAGATGGTTGTGCAGGAGATGTAGTACAGTGTAAAGTGGAGCAATTTGAAGGCCGGGAGATTGAAGAGACCACCCTTTACGTTGGTAGGGGAAAGACGCCGTTTGAGGAGAAGGGTCGCCATGCCAGTAGTGAGGAGGAGAAGAAAACCTAGGATGCGCATCGTCCAGGGAAAGCTGCGGAGAGTGAAGAAGCGAGTGCGTAGTGAACGCCAAGTGTGAATTGAGACGATTGAGAACGCGTACCCGACTTTCGGGATGAGGGTGCGAGTTACGATGGGTAAAACCGTCCCGCCTACGCTGGATCCAATGGATATTAAACCAAATACAAATGGCCTTCTCTTATGAACTTTGAAGAAGGCGAGAGAGTGTGCTATTGTTAAGCACACCTGTCAAGCAACAAACTAAGAAAGGTGACCACGTACAATAATTTGCTGCTACCGCAAACGTCGGACCGAACAGGAATCCTGAGGATATCTACTCTCGGGTACAGGAAAAATACATATGGACAAGTCGATATCGAGCCAAAAATAATTAAAATAAAAACTACACTACCCCAACAGCAAATCCTTGTGCTAGCATAAACTGCCAATACTTCTTACATTCTCCGACAACAAACGTTGAAATGACGAGAATGCCTGTGGCTAGAATGTTTGTTCCCTGGTAGTATCCAATGTCGAAGAGTCGACCGCTGATTATGGCTGGCATCAAGCTCAGTGAGATCTGTATACAGTCAAATAATCCATACGAGTCCAAGGAAGGGGAAGTGGGTGATCGGCGACGTTCGGTCCAAGTAGAGAAAGGATACAACGGACCTGTACTGAACCTATCCATGCTCTTTAAAATAGAAATCAAGCAAATGCCAAGCAGGGGTGATGTCTTCCTATGGAACTCACATATTCGAAGGCGACTGACCGGAAAGGATCGTTCGTGAATAATACTCTTGAAAGACCTTTAGGAGACTTTGTTGGGAAGAATGCGAAGTCGAATGAGGCTAATAGCAAGAGGCTCACACCCTATTTAATCGAGATCAAAGGATTTTGGATACATAATCAGATCGTCACTGATTTGCTGCCCACGCCAAGGAAACGCTCAATCTGGGGTTTAGGATCATTGGTACGTACCCAACTGTTAGCCATTCCAAATCTGCTCATGGAGAAATGAGTGATTTCGATAATAGCATATCGAGGTAATACTGTACGTTGAGAACATTAAGAGGTTACACTGGTGAGGGCGGTTAGTGTGTCCGAATTGGCACAATCAGGACAATGAATGTGGTTGGAGGGGAAGAGGAGGCATCATTGGATAGTCGATTTCCGTAGCCGCTGAATACTCACCCCAAAGACGACAAGCCAAGCTCTAAGTCCGCCCTCAGGGTACTCGAGAGTTCGAGCAAGACCACTCTCCCCACCGATTTCATCCTCCGTTACGTTGGGGGCCTTAACACAGTCTTCGTCTCCGGTGATCGAGCTTTTCTTATCCTTGCCATCAGTCTTATTTTTACCGGATGATGACTCGACAACTTTTTCATGATCTCTAGGATTGGAGATCGGATTAGTGTCTGCCATGGTTTCTGTCGTTGAAGAAGTGCGGTAGAAGTTGTAGTAGGAGTTGAGATGGTAATGGTGGTAGTCCCGGAAGAAGCGGCCAGAGCCAATGGAGATCTTTCTTTGGAAGCCATGCGGCAGTGGTAGGCGAAAAGCTGAATGGAATGGAGTCAAAAAGACAGGATGTACACATGATAGTTGGCAACCAGTGAATAGATGGACGCGGGGGAGTGTCCCCGCAGCCCTTCTGTCCCGCGCACCAAGGGCGAGGCAAGGAATGCTCTTTACCAGCCCAGAAACCAGGTAGGGAAGCCGGTATGCAAAGGAGCTTGATTCGTCCCCATGATATAAGCACAATATAGCACAATATTGATTTGGACAAGAAAGGATATTCGAACATATGAGCCATGACCAACCACTCGTGAGGTGTAGTGAGGTGTTGGTCGCTAGATTTCACAGAGCTTTTATGCGATAATCATAACAGACGGACAGAAGGAATTCTTGTAGCTCAAACACAGCGCACGAAAAGCCAGCGAGCGAAGCTAAACTTCGGACCGATCTCGTTCCTGGGAACTCGCACGCCCAATGCGGTAGTTCCGTCGGGCACATGCACAGCCATGCCGGACCGTCCAAGTCCCGGTGTTGACTGAATTCTTATTTGTTTCTCTGTTTTTCATGGATTCATGGATCAGGACACCTAGGGAGGATCCCACCCCCTACTTGGAACGGGTGACATCGAAGTCACGAGTGAATTGATCGTCCCAGTGTCTGAATTATCTACATCCATTGGACGGCAGAAAGACGAGGATTTCAAGAGATGCTGGTCACCTGCCTGCAGGGTTTCGAGTGCGTGTTGTTATGAGCTGGGGGTGGATGCTCGGCATTCAAGTTGTCCGACGGAGGGAACGAGGGCGATATAAAAGGTTCTTTTTCTGGTGTAGACCAATTACAGTTCTACTTTACTGGGATCCTACAGTAACATTGGTAGTTAACGAAGAATCGAACGATATGAATGTTGTGGCAAGCGGTGGGTTGCGGAGAACCACCACAACCCAGAGGACACCGCCACATAACCCTATCATGATGATGTAAGTTGTTGTACTCTAATTTGTTACGCGGCAGTTGCAGCTAGCCCGACTAATTACTACATGAGGGGCTCGTCATTGTCGTCAATACAAGGTAGGGTTGTCTGGTTGGTGTGGTCGGGGCGACGGGGTCGTCTGGGTTGTGACATCTGGTGTCTGGGTTATGTCTGGGTATGCGTGGGGGTGTAGTGTCTATGTCACTACTCTCTCTCTACGGTGGGTTACTGCACTCCTGTTTCCTGTTCCCCCGCTTTGCGTTGCTCTCTGTCCGCCCCTTCTTGATGAAGTCTGCGAGTCTAAGAATGTCTTTGGGCTTCCTCATAAGGGTCGAAAACCTGCTCTGGCGGCCGCGGTCCAGTACGTGTCTATGTTTCTTGAGCTGTGGGAATACCTGGAGGATGTGTTCTTTCGTCTGGTTAGCTGCCCCACATGTACACTCTCTGCTCTCTGGGCGTGCTTGCCCAATGTTCCTCTTCCATGTCCTGCTTGTGCAAGCTTTCTACATAGGATAATGGGTGGTAGCGGAGTCTGTCCGGGCTGAGGAGAGCTCCCCCTTTGGCCAGCTCGTCTACGCGCTCGTTGCCCTTGATGCCACTGTGGCCGGGGCACCAGCTTATCGCGACCTTGAGGTCGTCTTTGCCGTCCAGGAGCCTGCCACGCTGCCTTCCTAAAGGTCCGGGTGTATTCTTGGGCTTCCCTTGGAAGATGCCGCCGATCGCGCTTGTATTGTCTGAGTAAAATACTATGTTTGACGACTTGTGAGTGCGCAGGTCGTTTTCGATGAAGCAACGTGCCTTTTCCACCGCTTCCCTCAGCTCCATCATTTCTGTGTCGAAGGCTTCTACCTAGCTACCCATAGATCCATTCCTCTCAAATACTGTTTCTCCTGGTAAGTAGCCCGCTACTCCAAATCCAGTGTATTTTTGTCCTTCTTGGATCCGTCGAAGTACACGACGATGTATAAGAGTACCTCTCGGATGGTAAGCCGTACTGTCACTACAAAGGTGGCTGCGGGGATAACAAAATAAAATACAACAACACAGCAGCGGCCCGTGCGCTGTCGTGACTTGTCTCCAACACTGTGGAAGGTCGTTGTCGCTAATTACCAAGGCTTGGCCGGCTTGAATAGCTCAAGGCTCAGACCCATGCATCTCTTCATCTGCAATCGTCATTTCCATATACTACACGTGTGCGTCCCATTCTTCGTGAAAGGGCGCTGCTGCATGGCTGTCTATGTGCGCATTCAAAAGAAACAAGCGGAAACGGGGGCTGCGAAAAACGGACAAGGTGCGAAAGCATAGATCAACATCGCGTTAATAACCATCATTGGCCGGTAGGGGGCTCCCATCAGAACTTCCCCCACAGGGACCTAGTGGCGACCCATTTTGCAGAAATCATAAGAACGATAGAAAGCACAAGGGTGGAACCTACAAATCCCACATCACGATAACCGTCAACGAAACCTCTACCTCAGAAGAAAGCAAAGAAAAGGACACTTACCCGCGTACGCCCCAACCGCTGCGTAGCCTCCCGTAGCGTCACGAATAACACCTGAGATGGGTGCACCACATAGGACTCCAACACTGCCACAAGTGAATAACATCCCTGTTCTTCGTCCCATGTCCCCTTGAACACCGAATTCGGGGTGCGACAATGGCGTGCTGAAAAGCCCGATGAAAGCACCCACTGCAATCCTATACAGATGGGAGGGAAATCATGGATTAATTTTCTTTCGGTTAGGATTCACGCTGTAGCCAAATGAGCGGTATTTGTGCGCACCCATATATAATCGACACAAAAATCAAGGATCCCAGATTCAAACTGTAAGGCCAAACGTACGTCATCACGGCCGCTATCACCATGAAGCACCCCAGCACGTTCACAGGCCCATACCACCCGGCCAAAATAGCTGAAACAACCCTTCCAATACTTGAACAAGCATTGGCTAACGCAATGAGATAAAATGCCGTATCCACAGGTACTTTGGCTACTTCTATGGCGGCGATGTCCAGGTATGTTAACAAGGTGAACAGCCCTAGATGGATGCCTGTGCAAGAGGCGTAGTAGAGTGTGAAGTGGGGTGACTTGAATGCTGGGAGATTGAAGAGACCACCCTTTACGTTGGTGGGGGGAAGACGACGTTTGAGGAAGAGATTTGCTGTACCAGTAGTGAGGAGGAGAATAAAGCCTAGGACGCGTATTGTCCAGGCAAAGCTGGGGAGGATATATAAGCAGGTGCGTAGCGAAGGCAAAATGTGAGTTGAGAACACATACCCAACTTTTGGAATGAGGATGCGAGTTACGATGGGCAAAACTGTCCCACCAATGCTAGATCCAATGGATATTAAACCAAATACCAATGGCCTCCTCTTATGAACTTGGAAGAGGGTGCTATTATTAAGTACATAGGTATACCTTCCGAAGAAACATGCCCACTTACAATAATTGGCTGCCACTGCAAACGTCGGACCGTTTAGGAACCCTGATGATATCTGTTCCCAAGTGCAAGGAGAGTACGTGTAGATAGGTCAACGTCAAGCCGAAGGGGAGGTAGGCAAAGAAAACAAAAACAAAAGTACGCTACCCCAACAGCAAATCCCTGAGCTAGCATAAACTGCCAATATCTCTTACATTCCCCAACGACGAATGCTGAGATGATGAAAAGGCACGTAGCTAGAATATTTGTTTCGCGGTAATATCCAATGTCGAATAGTCGGCCGCTGATTATGCCAGGCATCATGTTCAGTGAGAACTGTGGGCAATCGAATGGTTCATGGAAATGAAGAGTGGGTGATTAGTGACGATGGGTTCGAGTAGGGGGATGGATACAACGAACCTGAACCGAGCCTATCCATGCTCTGTACCATAGAAATTGAACAAACGTCAACCCAGGCAAGGCGGTAATACCCCTTCACGGCGGACTTACATGTTCGAGGACGATTGTTCGGAAAGAATCGTTCGTGAATAATACTCTTGAAAGACCTTTAGACGACATTGTCAGAAAGAACCCGAAATTTGATAAGGCTGAAAGCAAGAGGTTTACACCCTATTTGAATTGAGATCGAGGGGATTTTGGATCATCAGATCGTTGCTGATTTGTTACCTGGGTCGAGGAGAAAATATTGGTACGTACCCAAGTGTTGACCATGCCGAACCTGTTGATAGGGAATTGAGTTATTTCGATAATCACATATCAGGGAAATATCATACGTCGAGAACATTAAGAGATTACACTGACGAGGATGATCAGCGCGCACAATCGGGACAGTGGATTTTGGAAAGGGGGGTGTTGCTCCCATCGGGTGGGCGATTTCCGTAGCCGTTGAACACTCACCCCAAGGACGACAAGCCAAGCTCTAAGTCCCCCCTCAGGGTACTCAATTCCATCGGAAGACTCGAGAGTTCGAATACAACCAGTTCTTCCGTCGATCTCGTCCCGTTCATCGCCCCTTAAGTCGAAGCCCTTCACACAGTCTTTGTCTCCCGCGAGTGAACCTTTCTCATCATTGCTGTCAGCCTTAAATTCACCGGATGACGGCTCGACAACTTTTTCATCGTCTCTAGGATTGGATATCGCGTCAATGTCCGCCATGGTTTCGGTCGGTGAGTAAACCTCGCAGAGGTGCGTAGTAGGAGTTGGGGTGGTGATGGGGGTACTGGCAGAAGTAAGGGTCAAAACCGGTCTTGAAGTCATGTGGAAAGCGTACGTAAAATGAGCTAAATAAAGGGGGGCCAAGGGACGGGATGTATATACACATGACAGCTGACTGGACTCATTCACCACAGGTGAATGGATGAACCGAGGCGAGAGGGTCCCAGCAGTCTGTAGCTACTAACACTTCTGTATCGTGCGTCGGGGGCGAGGCAGGGGACACTCTCTTATTCAGTCCAGGAGTCAGGCCGTGATGTAGAGGTGCACGGTGCAAATGGGGATTTGGTTTATGTATCCCCATGATCGATATAAGGACAATATTGGATATTTCGAACATATGAGCCTGTTGTTTATGATTGGCCGCTCGTGAGGTGCAGTGACGTGCCGGTTATCAAGCCATTTGTGCAATGATTATTGACCAAGCTTGCGGGGCGGTTGTTGGGATAGGATTCTTAAAGCCATTTCGAGGATAAGCTAGGACTTCGGACCGAACCCGTTCCTGAGTCATGCACGAAGCTCTTCCAATTCAATCGCCTTATTTTGGCCTCTTCCCTTCAGCAGGCGCACAGCCATGACGGCCGAGACACCGCATGGATAACAAGATAACCAAGATCTCGCACAGTTGATATACGGTTGACCGCTGCACCAATCTGAACCCAAAACCCGATAATTTACTAGGCAGGTTCCCAGCCTGTACTAGAGTAGAATAATGACTTGCAAGGGGAGTATCGATCGCTTTCCAACATTGGACCGTCCTCCCTATCTTGTATCTGTCGATTCTCTCAATCGTGTCTACTACACTGTAAGATAGCCTCACTGCCACGTCGTCATGAGGGGTAACATTGGACTTGCTCGCTACCTCTCACCTTATTCATGACGAAGCCCCCGGACTTCGGCACCCCCGCCAGAAGCCTAAATTCTGCAGGTTGGATATCCCGGATAATCAAAACAAGCAGAAAATCCGCATAGGTGACCAGTGAGAGGCACCAAAACGTGCTACATAGTTTGTTGGCCACCCATCATCCATGATATGTGACTGACATTACTCCTCGTTCCGAGCAAGCTCCATCTCCCAGTAGATCGAGGCAACCAGACAAGTGATAAGCAGTCCCCAAGTTGCAGAAACTTACGCTTCTATTGACACTAGTTCTTCCGTTGCATGTGTGGCATGATCCTCAGCTAAACCGCATAGCAACAAACGCCCATACCCACCGTAACGGATAATTCCCAGCTCGGCCGCATAGTAAGCAGAAGGGGTAAAAATCTATAAAAAATCATTCAAGGGTCCCTGGAACATGGACAGCCATGACAATGCGAATTAACACTCCACCAAAGGCACCGAATCGTAGAAGCATCTCTGGGGCCGGATGCGTTGCAATTTGCTCGGTTGTCAACATAAGTACTCTGAAGAGGAATAATTCATCTAGATAAGACATTTCAAAAAACCGGAATCACAGGCAACCATAGGCGATGGTGACCACGGCCTCGTAACTACTTGACTCAGTAGTGAAGGAACGACAGTACATCGCCACCAATACAAGATAAACTGAATTTGCCAACACGCCAACCAAGGGTAGTAATGTCCGATCTCGCTAACAAGATTGTCATCCTCGTCACTGGTGGATCGGGACTGGTTGGATCGGCTATCAGATGGGTGATTGACAACGAGCCCCCAAATTCGCGATTCGGGAAACACGATAATGAGGAATGGATATTTGCGCGTTCTAGTGAGGGTGATCTGAGGTGCACGGCTTGTCCACCAAGTCAAGCAAGACATAACCTCTCTTTTTTGCCACCAGGGACCCTGAAGCTGCTAAGAAGCTGTTCGAGAAGTATAAACCCACTCATGTTATTCACCTGGCTGCACTAGGTAACTTGTTTGGTATCGATCTAATTCTCGCTGACAATTCTGTAGTTGGCGGGCTCTTCAAGAACATGAAATATAAACTGACATTCCTCCGAGATAATACACTCATCAATGATAATGTCCTTCAAACGTCCCATGAAACGAAGGTTAAAAAGGTCATCTCCTGCTTGTCGACGTGCGTTTTCCCCGATAGGGTTCAGTATCCCCTCGATGAGACAAAGATTCATCTTGGCCCTCCACATGAGAGCAATTTTGGGTACGCGCATGCGAAGCGGATGGTGGACGTGACAAACCAGTGGGCGCATTCCGATCAGAGCAACGGAGGTGGTCCTGACTTCCTGCTGCACAGTGCCTATCATGAAGAATTCGGCAGTTCCTTTACATCTGCCATCCCAACGAATGTCTTCGGTCCCCACGATAACTTGTGTGTATCTCCATACCAGTTTGGAGTCGAATGATTGATCGACTCTCTCAGCGATCTGGAGGACTCCATGTCATACCAGGACTCCTCCACAAGTGTTATTTGGCAAAAAGCAGAGTACTCAATTCGCTTCAATGTCGTATTTGCTGATCGGCAATCCTAGAGAACGGCACGCCCTTTACCGTAGCAGGAACTGGGAAACCCCTTCGACAATTCATTTACTCGCGAGACCTCGCAAAGCTATTCATCTGGCAGTTGAGGGAGTATGACGAGATTGATCCCGTCATTCTATCTGGTTCGTTTGAGCACAGTTTGCTCAATATAATGGTTTGATGAAGCTCACTTAGTCGGTGAGAACGAGGAGATCAGCATCAAGCAGGTCGCAGATGCTATAGTCAAAGCCATCGGCTTTGAAGGCGATTACAAGGTGAGGGAAGTTAATTGTGTTAGATGCTTAATTCCAGAACCCAGTGGCCTTTCTCCATCTCCAGTTCGATACGACTCGAGCAGATGGGCAGTTCCGCAAACCTGCTTCAAACGCAAAGCTTCTGAGGTTAATCGCAATTTCACCTTCACGCCTTTTGATCAAGGTGAGGGGTTTCCTGTACGGAAACGGGCCCAACTTGACTGCGGTTGGTTTATCATCGTAGCTTTGGAGGAGACTGCAGCGTGGTTTGTGCAGAATTATGATAAGGCTAGAATCGGACAAGTGCCAAAGCGAATGAACCAGAGTAGGAGTTGCATTCCATGTAGAACTCGGACCATTGTAATTTCAGCATTTAGATAGTATAAGTAGGATATCCGTACAAGGGCACACGATCCCTTTTCATGTTTCATTAGTCGGAAGCCAGCCAACGTAACTTAAAAATCGCCCCAATTACGGCGGAATTTGTACTGTACGAAGATTGTTAGAGAACCAACAGAGCATGTGCATGCGTGATGACAACGGACTTTGTACGGCGCATTCTTCCTCAACTTTTCAGCAGGAGTCTTGGGCGGTCGATACCCTTCTGCACCCTGACCCCATTCCGGCTTGTCTCGCGCTTCCTTGACGATGTTGAGGTAACCAGCCTTGGGATCCTTTTTGGGTCGAATAAACTTGGGCCCAGATTTTGAAGGCTGACCTGTCGTCTCACTGGACGCAGGCAATACTTTCGCTGAAGGTGTTTGTCGTGGAGGGTTTGGCTTCTTCTGGGCTTAGTGTCGGCAAACCTTGGAATTCGCGCTCTCGGTTCTCCTCCTCGAGTTCAATTCTCTCATGATGCTTGAAGTGTTCGCTGCAGTATCGTCAGGGTGGGAGGTCCAACAACGATACGAAGTGCTTACGTATCCTCAGGATGGTTGTAGGATTCATCCGTTTGTGTTTCGGAGTGTTGTGGTATTGTTCTGATCACGTCTGTGAACAAGTCGCTTCAACGTATCTCAAGACGACACACCTTCGTGGTGCAAGAAGAACTCGCTCTCTTCATCGTAGTGATGTCCCTCAGCGCCAAGATTGCTATAGTCCGGAAGTGCGGCCAATCCAGCAGCTTCGAACTCTTCCAATGAGATGACCCCATCGCGGTTGGTGTCGATCTTGGCTAGAACTCT